AGTAAATGCATCTCTATTTAAAATAATCAATATGCAAAATAAAACGATGCAAAATATGATGTCAAAAGCATAAAATGTGAGTGAGGGAGGGAATAAAAATGTAGTGCTTTCAGAATATGTTCAAATTTAAGCAATTGTCAACCTAAAGTAGACTGCATTAAATATAGGTTGTTATACATATGTGAGCATCAAATTAACCACAAACCAGAAACCTATATACATGCTCAGTCACTTCAGTTTATGTCCAAATCTTTATGACCCCATGGGCTGTAGCCCACCAGGCTCCTCTGACCATGGGATTCTCTAGGTAAGAACACTGGAGTGGATTGCAATACCTTCCCCTAGGAGCTCTTCCCGACCCAGGGATCAAATCCACATTTCTTATATCTCCTGCATGGGCAGATGCATTCTTTATCCCTAGCACCACCCGGGAAACCCATAAGAGATACACAAAAAATAAATAGGAAAGAATGAAAAGTCATCAAATCATCTGGGAAGAGAACAAGAGGAAAAGACAGAGAACTACAAAACAACCAGAAAACAACTAACAAAATGACAATAAGTACATACATATCAATAGTTACTTTAAATGTAAATTGACTAAATGCTCCACTCAAAAGGCATAGGGTGACTAAATGGAGTAAAAAAAGAGTCACATGTATATTCTGCCTACAAGAGACAGTCACGTAAGATCTGAAAACACATACAAATTGAAAGCAAAGGGGTGAAAAAAGATATTTCATGCAGAGGGAAATACAAAGAAAGCTATACTTATATCAGAATAGATTTTAAAATGATAGCCGTAATAAGAGACAAATGAGGGCATTACATAAGGGATGTAATACTTTTAAATATCTTTGCACTCCAAATAGAAGAACCTAATATGTAAAGTAAACATTAATAAATATAAGGGAAATACTGATAGTAATATCATAGTAGTGGAACTTAACATCCCATTTATATTAATGGATATAGTCTAGAGAGAAAAAAACAATTAGAAAACATTGGCCTTAAACTGAATACTATATTATAGTAACCTAATAGTTATATATAGAATATTCTATTCCCAAACAGCAGAACACATTCTTTTCAAGTGTACATGGAATATTCTCTGGGATAGATCACATGTTAGGTCACAAGTCTCATTAATTTAAGAAGATTGAAATCATATTTTCCAACCAAAACAAAATAAAACTAGAACTCAATTAATAAGAGGAAAACTAGAAAAAAATAGCAAACATATGGAGGTTAAATAACATGGTATTGACCAGTGGGTCAATAACAACAACAAAAATCAAATTGGAAATTAAAAAAGTACCTTCAGACAAATGAAAATGAGAAACAGAATTCTAAAATATGTGGGAACAGCAAACTCAGGTCCTAAGGGGGAATTTTATAGAAATACAGGATTCCTCCCCCAAACAAGGAAATTTTCAAACTAAATATGAAAATTTACACCTAAAGAAACAAGAAGAACAAACAAAGCCCAAAGTTAGTGGAAGGTATGAAATAAATAACAGAGAAGAAATCAATGAACTAGACACTTTAAAAGTCATAGAAAATGTGAATGACACTAATAGGTGATTCTTTGAAAACAAACAAAATTGATAAAACTAAACATATTCATTAGGAACAATAACATCAGAAATAAAAGGAGAGAAGTTATAAACAACACTACAGAAATACAAGGAATCATAGGCTTCATGTCAAGTAGAGGGCAACCAGTGGTGTGAAATTTAAACCTGAGTTACACAATTTTCATGAATAAAGCATGAGGCTAAAATGAAAAAAAAAATAATAATAAGAGATTACTATGAACCATTATGTCAACAAATTGGACAACCTAGAATAAAAGGATAAATTCCTAGAAATATACACTCTTTCAAGACTGAATTGGAAGAAATAGAATATCTGAATAGATTGAACACTATTAAAAAATATCAAGTCAATAATCAAGCAACTTCCAACAAACAAACATCCAGGATCAGATGGTTTCATAGGTGAGTTCTGTCAAACACTTAAAGAAGAATTAGTATGTATTCTTGTCAAACTATTCCAAAAAATATTGAAGAGGAAATCTCATTTTATTAGGCCAGCTCAAGAGTGATCAAGAGTTAGGCATTGGAGGTATAGACATGGAGGTGGCAAAGACAAGAAAGAGGATGCTAGAAGCAATGGTGGATGAAAAGTGTGAATCCCACGGACAGAGGAGCCTGGTGGGCTACAGTCCATGGGGTTGCAGAATCAGACATGACTGAGCAACTAACACTTTACTTTTTTGATCAAACTTATACAAAATCTGCCCCTAATCTTTTCAGTTACCTATATCTTGGTTAAGTGAGGACTAGATATGGTAGAGTTGGGTCTCTACCATTTCCAACTAAAAATGTTCTAATAGCTAGTCAGTTAATTCTGTGATGAGGTGGCTTATCTAATCAAGTTACAAATCCCAAAAGAATTAGTCAACTTGTAACAGAAATCTGTGTTTTAATATAGAACTCTCATTCATATATATATATATATATACATATGCTTATTTTCTCCTGTGTTAGTAATGTACCATTGTTTTATCTATAGTCATTACACACATGTACACACATACCTAAACATACACAAACATAAATAGCTATAATAGTTGTAAAGCCTCTATCTAGTTTAAGAGAATCTTTTTTACTGGTTTCTTTTGTAAATGTGAATGACATATGTGTTTTTACATTTTCTAGCAGCCACATTTAAGAAAGTAATAAACAGATAAAGTTAATTTTATTAATATGCAAGTATACAAAATATTATAATTTCAACATAAAGTCAACATAAAATTATTAATAAAATTTTATGTCTTTGAAAACCATAGGAGATGTGTACATCTCCTAGAGCACTTCTGAATGGGCTCAATAGACTCATGTAGCTGGTGGTTCTCAAACTGAACAGTGTAAGTCTGAATTAATGTGTGGCTTAATTCTGCTCTTCCTAATAATACTGATCAATATATTTTCTTAATAGAAATAAAGGAAAGGTATCAAAAAGGGCTTTGGAACACATCTCAAAATAGTATTTGTGCAATTGGGAACATAGGCTTAGCAGAATGTCTGGGCTTACCAGCAGGTTCCACATTTATTAAGTCAGTCTGACTAGTAAGCTCCTTGAATACTGCTGAGAAATAATTGGACATGATTAATGAATTAAATGGCTTAAGGGCAAAAGAAATATTTCCACAATGTTTATTTTTACTTAAAAAATAAAGTGAAAACTGCCTAAGTAGTAGATATGAAAATAGTTGTAGACTTGGAGCTGCTTCTTCATGTGAAAATATGAAAAACAAGTTAAATGTATTAAATGTTAACATCTAATATAACTCCGAGATTTCCTGTTTCTGTTATTATAATTATGGCAGATATGCAACTTGGAGCACAGTGAAAAGAAAAACAAATGTCTACCATAAAATTTGCTTTCTAAGTACTTGAATAAAAGTTAAGAGCTGTCACCTATTGAAGTTTAATAAAGTTCTCTTTACAGTATTTTTAATCCTCCCAACAGCTCTATTGTTATTTTACTATTTATATATGACAAACTGAGACATTAAATAACTTGTCCAAGGTCAAGAGTTGCTAATATATATAATAGTGTAGATCCTTCATACATTCTAACTTCAGAATAGTAAACAAATTTCATGGAAAGATATATGTAATGTTTTAAGTAATATATTATTATGTTAATAATATGTGTGGCTTCCGTGGTGGCTCAGTCGGTAAAGAGTCTGCCTGCAGTAGGGGAGACCTCGATTCCTGGGTCAGGAAGAGCCCCTAGAGAAGGAAATTGGCAACCCACTCTAGTATTCTTGCCTGGAGAATTCCATGGACAGAGGAACCTGTTAGGTTACAGTCCATGGGGTCACAAAGAGTTAGACATGACCGAGAGACTAATTTTCATTATTATGTTAATATACCTTTAATGTAATTTATATTAATATATATTTAACATATCAAAGAGAAGGTTTTACTTAGGGCTGCCTAAACTTAGAAGATTAAACCATTGTTTGTTTCTTACTTCAGGGTAAATAAGATATAAAGAAATATCTTTCAGATATAAAGACATTTCAAATTAATTGGTATGGAAATTTCAAATGAATTTGAGATAAGAAAATTACATTTAATGTTAGATGCTTTCACATTTGTTTCTGTTTAATCTTGAAAATAACAGAACAAGATTGATATTATCATTCCTATTTTATATATTAGGAAACTGGGGTTTAGAAGGGTTCCTGTTCATAGTAGCAAATTGAGATTTTACTGTGTTTGCCTGACTACATTTCTATGTTTTTTCATGAAACTGTCACTCTAAGTTGAGGAAAGTTTTAAATGTAAGACATTTAAGGAAATGTGTTTAATGGCATGAAAGGAGAGGCAATGTACTGTTTTTCATTTTCATTTTTTTCTAAAAGAAGTGTTATTTCTAATTTTTTTAAAGATCATAATAGCATGCTTCCAAATAAAGAATATAAACTTAGATACATGGTGCAATCTTTATTTTAGGTGTTTTAAATATTACAATACCTGAAAATACAAAGTATATATATTCATCATCCTCAAAAATTAAAAAAATAATATTTACTTTCTGTCATAATGAAGATTCTCACAGATTCTTCCATCTATTCAATTAATGATCATGATCAAATATTTTTGAAGTCTGTTATGTCAGACATTTCTCTAGATACTAGAGATATAATCATGCAGTAAAGTATTGCCCGTGATAAAACTTGTATTTAATAGATAAGCAATATATAGAAAAATTTTGATGGCTGTCAACTTTATGCAAAGTTGGTCATATGATTATCCTTATAAAATGTAAGCTGTTAATACATGGTTGATGTTGCTTAAATTTGCTATTTCATAGATATTTGGGACTTCGAAGCTGAGAATGGAAATTCTCTATCTAAAAATTATTCTAAGTATAAAGGTAAATAATGGTGTTAATTAAGCTAAGATGTTCTATTTCAACAGAACACATGGCTACCTGTTAAATTTTAGACTCCAAAGCAAGAACATTCAGATCTTTCCCTTGGCCAATTGCTTTGTGACCCTATGCACTGTAGCCAGCCAGGGTATTCTGTCCATGGGATTTTCGAGGTAAGAATACTGGAGTGGGTTGCCATTTCTTGCTCCAGGGGATCTTCCCAACCTAGGGATCGAACTCATGTCTCCTGTGTCTCCTGCATAACAGGCAGATTCTTTACTGCTTGAGCCATCAGGGAAGCCCCAGATGCAAAAGAAAAACAAAAAATTCTACTCATTTCCATCCTTCCATCCCTGGTAAATTTGTAAGGTTTATTTAAATGTGTACTGAATAAATGCAGCCCCTGCTCCTTTTTGAGTTCAGAATCAACTAAAATTGTGAAGTACTGCTGATATATTTTTCTAGAAGTATATTTGCATTTGGAAAGCTTTTATCCATACCTTTCCCCACGAGTTTAGATTATCTTGTAAATATCTAAATAATTTGTAATAATAGTACCTAAAAGCTATTGTACACTTATTCTGTACCAGGCACCAAGTCCTGTATACATATCTTTTGCACTCTCCTTGGCTTTCTTTTATTTGTGATAGCATCAATATTTTATTGAGAGAATTATTTTGTCTATATGCAATATGATATTAAGATTATAAAATCATGCACTTTTCTCCTTCAGAGGGCACTCAACATACACTGGTGTCTTTCTTCCTCACTCACTTGTTCAAAATTGCAGACTGCAATTCAGCAAGAACTGCAAGAGGATAAGGTCTGAGGTTTCTTCCTTTGAAATCAAATTATTACAGCCTTGAATGAAATGAACCTCATTGCAAGCGAGTTTGGAGACAAAGAAAATTCCGTTTCAGCTTAAGTTGCACTTTGATTTCCTCAAATAATACTACTTCCTGCTTCATATGTGGATCAAAGTGAGAAAGGAAAGGTACTGGATATTTGTGACTTTCTCCTTAACAGGCATGAGTTCATAGTCAAAAGTGAATAATACAAACAAAATTTATAGTTTGGGTATAATATAGTCATTGACTGTATATACTGTTAGGGCTTCCCTGCTGGCTCAGATGGTAAAGAATTTGCCTGCAATTCAGGAGACTCATGTTTGATCCCTGGTTTGGGAAGATCACCTGGAGGAGGGAATAGCAACCCACTCCAGTATGCTTGCCTGGAGAATTCCGTGGAAAAGGAACTTGGCTACAGTCCATGGGGTTGCAGAGTCGAACACAACTAACACACACACACACACACACACACACACACACACACACGTATATATAGTTACTCATTCTTATTAGCTTATACCAGTGTTTCCAAACTTTAGTACATATCTGAATTACTTGCATTTGAGATCAAATATATCTTCACAACCCAGATAATCACAATGGTGTGATCACTCACCCAGAGCCACACATCCTGGAATGTGAAGTCAAGTGGGCCTTAGGAAGCATCACTATGAACAAAGCTAGTGGAGGTGATGGAATTCCAGTTGAGCTATTTCAAATCCTAAAAGATGATGCTGTGAAAGTGCTGCACTCAATATGCCAGCAAATTTGGAAAACTCAGCAGTGGCCACAGGACTGGAAAAGGTCAGTTTTCATTCCAATCCCAAAGAAAGGCAATGCCAAAGAATGCTCAAACTACCGCACAATTGCACTCATCTCACACACTAGTAAAGTAATGCTCAAAATTCTCCAAGCCAGGCTTCAGCAATACGTGAACCATGAACTTCCAGATGTTCAAGCTGGATTTAGAAAAGGCAGAGGAACCAGAGATCAAATTGCCAACATCTGTTGGATCATCAAAAATGCAAAAGAGTTCCAGAAAAATATCTACTTCTGCTTTATTGACTATGCCAAAGCCTTTGCCTGTGTGGATCAAAACAAACTGTAGAAAATTCTTAAAGAGATGGGAATATCAGACCACCTCTCTTGCCTCCTGAAAAACCTGTATGCAGATCAAGAAACAACAGTTAGAAGAGGCCATGGAGCAACAGACTGGTTCCAAATAGGAAAAGGAATAGGTCAAGGCTGTATATTGTCACCGTGCTTATTTAACTTATATGCAGAGTACATCATGAGAAACTCTGGACTGGATGAAGCACAAGCTGGAATCAAGCTTTCCAGGAAAAATAGCAATAACCTCAGTTATGCAGATGACACCACCCTTATGGCAGAAAGTGAAGAAGAACTAAAGAGCCTCTTGATGATAGTGAAATGAGAGAGTGAAAAAGTTGGCTTAAAACTCAACAATCAGAAAACTAAGATCATGGCATCTGGTCCCATCACTTCATGGCAAATAGATGGGAAAACAGTGGAAACAGTGACAGAGTTTATTTTGGGGGGCTCCAAAATCACTGCAGATGGTGACTGCACCCATGAAATTAAAAGACTCTTGCTCCTTGGAAAAAAAGTTTTGACCAACCTAGACAGTTTATTAAAAGGCAGAGACATTACTTTGCCAACAAAGGCCTGTCTAGTCAAAGCTATGGTTTTTCCAGTAGTTACGTATGGATGTGCGATGGACCATAAAGAATTGATGCTTTTGAACTATGGTGTTGAAGAAGACTCTTAAGAGTCCCTTGGACAGCTAGGGGATCCAACCAGTCCATCCTAAAGGAAATCAATCCTGAATATTCATTGGAAGGACTGATGCTGAAGCTGAAACTCCATAATTTGGCCACCTGACTCATTGGAAAAGACCCTGATGCTGGGAATGATTGAAGGCAGGAGGAAAAGGGGATGACAGAGGATGAGAAGTTTGGATGGTATCACCGACTCAATGGACATGAGTTTGAGTAAATTCCAGGAGTTTGTGATGGATAGCCATGCTGCAGTTCATGGGGTCGCAAAGAGTTGGACACAATTGAGTGACTGAACTGAACTGAACTGAACTGAGTGGTTCCAATCTTAAGTACAGATCAGAATCACTTGGCATGTGAGTTCAATCTCCAGTTTCTGATTCAGTGTAATGGATTTGTTGCCTAAGTATCTGCATTTTTTTTTTTTAAATTCAAGATATTACTAATACTGCTGGTCTAGGAATCACGGATTTAGATTAATGGGCATAAAATCTGGATTAATGACTGCTGAGGCTGTGTTTACTTGAACAAAACATGCTATCAATCTGACTTAACCCAGGTACTCAGGCAGTCTCTGTATAGGCCACATGAATAAAAAGTACTACATCAGAAACTGTGGTAAAGCAAATGGCAGGACAGTCTCCTTTTTGAAAGAGTGCTCAGACTTAAGGAAGCTAAAAATCTCCCTTTGAAGAATTACATGGGGGATACACATAAGCAAAAATGGAAACCAACAGGTATAAATTGGTATGTTAAATTCAACGCATATACTGAGGCCATTCTGGGAGGTCAAGAAGCCATCAAGAATGACAGGATGCTTGAAATGAGTCTGAGAGATTAGAGAATAAGTAGGCATCATATAGACCAGGATAAAAAAAAAGGTCATATAACTTAATACTGTTCCTGACAAATGCCTGCACTTGCTAGCAAAGGGAATTATGTCAGAAAGCATAAATGGGATATTTATAAAAAGCCATTCGCATCACTAGAAAAATACAGCTCCAAGCATATTCAGTATTTATTGACCATTTACTCCTATACTGGTCCATTTGCTGTCAGATTTCTCTGAGCACTGTGTATCCTTTTTATTCAAATCCCTGCAGATGAGGGTTGACACAAAGATACCTATGAAATCTTTCATGAAAGAAGAAATGGAAGAAAGGATATAAAGAATTATACCATTTAAGGTGATTATTATTTTATAACAATTCCTGAAGCAAAAACACAACAACCAAAAATAATTACACATGCATTTCAAGTTTGCAATAATTTAGTTTTCTTCTAAATACATACAATTGTAGTCAATGACATGTGTAGGAAAAATTATGGTGACTCTGATTTAGGATATATTTCATATTTCATATCATATTTATAATTTCAGAAGTCTAAGGTGCAGATCTCTAAAGTCCTAACTATTAAAAGACTATCTAGAATGCCGAAAGCACTAGAATGCTTTAAATTCAAGTGATTGCAAGGTGATACAGTTTGTCAATTTTTTGAGGTGCTGCACTTATTCTAATTTCCAATTAAAATGATAAATTAAACATATAATTAGTTTATTAAGTATTCATTTCCACAAAAAAACTATGCATGCATCTGTCCATAAGTACATTGACTAATTGTATCATCAATTCTAAAGTCAAAGCACAAATGAGACTGTTAAACACCATTTTCAAAGAGTAGCACGGTATCACATCATCTGAATGGAACATTATAATAATGGCAGTCAGTATAGCACTGACCTATAATCTGGGGGTTTATAGACTGCTATATCTTTTGATATGACACAGAAATAGAAGTTCCTTTTTATAACTATGTTTAGAATTAACTTATAGAAAATTCAAGCTTTCTTTTATTAAAAAAGGAAAAATGTAACTGCATCAGCCAGCCAGTGTTGCATGGCAGAGATAGTTCAGGTTCCAAATTATGCATTTTTCTTAACTGAGTAGTACAGATGTGTGCCCCACAGTAGTGCTAATCCTTTTATTGCTTTAATAAATCCTCAAGCATTTGCCCAACTACCATAATTCTTCTGGGAAGAAAATTTTCTGCAAAAATTGCACAAGTGTAACAAGTGCAGTGTTCCAGAAGAAATCATTATTTTTAAACTGTGAAATTCTAACAGATGCTGCCTAAGTAATTCAACCAATAAAAAACACAAAGGGTGTCTGAGTGAGAAAACTTGACTAAAAGCCAGGACGCCTATGCCCTCCTCTCAACCTGGCATCACACTGGCCATCAAGCTTTAAGCTAGTATTTAGATATTTACCCTCTCTGATAAGACCTGTCATACAGCCTTACACAGATGACTATGGAGACTTTTGTAATGGAAGATTCAATAGTTCCATTCAGTGGATATTTGCTCAGCATCTACTGTGGTCCGAATACTGGAAGGTTCACATCAAATCAAAGACATGGCCCATGATCTAATGGAGACAAATAGACAACTCTTACAGAGTGGATTAACAAAAAATCCTCAGTACATAAAGAAAATGACTGCAGAAAGGGCTTAAACCCTACTCTAAAACCTAAACTTTACAGAACTTGTGAGCAGACAGTGAGGAAGGAAGGGAAGTAGCTACTGTAAATAATGGGACGGCAAGAGAGCCTCTCGGAGGAGTGAATCGAAATTTGAAATCTGAAAGATGAGATTGGGAAAAAAATTTCCCATCCAGAGGATAAACGTATAAGACTCCAAGTAGGTTCCAAGGGTTGGAAAGACAGTGAGATTGCCACTTAGTCACAGTATAGTAAACCCAAGAGAGAAAAGTATCAGGTAAGACTGGAGTGGTAGGAGGATCTTGTGTGTGCAGTACCTTGTATCCCAAGTTAAAATGTGTGAATTTCTTGGGGAGGGGAGGGACAAATTGGAAGATTGGGGTTGACACACAGTACTCTATATAAAATAGATATCTAATAAGGACCTGCTGCATAGCCCAGGGCACTCTGCTCAACACTTGGTGATGACCTATATGGGACAAAAATCTAAAATAGAAGGGACATATGTATATGTATAGGTAATTCACTTTGCAGTATGCCTGAAACTGATATAACATTGTAAATCAAATTTCTCCAATAAAAACTTTTCAAACATGAGTGAATTTCAACTTTTGTTCAGGGGAAAATTGCAGAGGATTGGAAGCAAAGGGTTATATATTTTGATTTATGCTTTTGAAAAATTATAATTGGTGTCCATGCAGAAAATGACTCTTGGGTAGCCCAGAGTACAAATAGGGAGATCAGAGAGGAAAGGACTACAATCCTCAGGGTGAGAGTTGATTGATGGCTTCACTAAGCGTGGCAGCTGTGAAGAGAGAAAGGGTTCAACACACCCTGATTTGTACAAAAGTAGCTTGTATTTGAGCTTCTCCAGTGGCTCAGATGGTGAAGAGTGAGTGAAAGTTGCTCAGTCTTGTCCAACTCTTTGCAACACCTTGGACTATACAGTCTATGGAATTCTCCAGGCCGGAATACTGAAGTGGGTAGCCTTTCCCGTCTCCAGGGGATCTTCCCAACCCAGGGATTGAACCCTGGTCTCCCTTACTGCAGGTGGATTCTTTACCAGCTGAGCTACCAGGGATGCCCAGATGTAAAGAATCTGTCTGAATGCAGGAGACCCGAGTTCAATCCCTGGGTCAGGAAAATCTCCTGGATGAAGGAATTGGCAACCCACTCCAGTATTCTTGCCTGGAAAATTATATGGACAGAGGAGCTTGATGGGCTAGTCAGTGGGGTTGCAAAGAGTCAGACATGACTGAGCGACTAACACTCTCAGTTTACACTTTTTCAGTTTGTTCTTAAATGTACAAAGTTGGACATCACAATATTTTAAAGTTTCTCTAGACCTAAAGGCCCCTACGTTTAAATTCCTAGAATGCTCCTTGAATATCCTGGTTTGGTTAATCCAACAGAATGTCTCAAATGATCTAATCTTAAAAGTTTCATTTCATTTCATCTTTCACCCCTTAAAAAAAAACACAAATGTCAGTATACTTTGGAGAAGATAAGATGAAGAATGGCAGTACTTAACATCTTTTCTAAAAAGGTAAAACAATGTTTTGTCACTGTCAGAGTGTCTTCTGGCTTAAATTATAACAACTATTGACATAATGGAATGAATTGGAATAAGTTTCTAGTGTTTGAAAATTTAAACAGAAAGGAAAATTAAGACCTAGCTCTGTGAGATACCCTAAGGAGGAAATAACTTTGAATTATCAGATATATTCCAGGCTCTCAATAGGACAGTGGATAGTTTTACCTTTCATGGAGAAAAAAGGTTATTCAGTAGGTTTTTCAAACAAAGCAAATTTATTGGAACATTTTTTTGATTATTGTATGAGATTGTGTGGGATTGGATTGGATTGTTTTGATGTTAGGAAGCTCTCAATGAGTATACTCCCTAAGGAAAAATATTCAATTGACCAAAAAGTTCATGTGGGTGTTTCCTAATACAACATAATAATTCTGATACACGGGTAATATGGTTGAGGCATGAAGATTGCTATCTCTGGGCCCAAACTTCTTGGGTTCAAATTCCAGCTTTGCCATTGATCACCTGTGTAACTATCTGCAAGACAGTTAACCTCTCTGAGCTTCCCTTTCTTCCCCAGTAAAGAGGGACATTGTGATGCTTAAATGAGTAAATTTATGTGCAATACTTAATTACCATTAAGAAACTAAACACTGTTATTATTTACATTATACATAACTGATAGACAAAGAAAAGTAAAACAAACTGGAATTTTTAAGAAAGATAATTTTTTTCACCATAAGAAGTATTTGAAGGCTACTTTGTAGTCCTTCCTTTAGAAATATTTATATTTCAGGGCTTCCTGAAAAATTTTCATGTACTTCAGCCTATGAGAAATACTATAAATAAGCTCAAATAAAATTAAAGTGCTTGTCAAATATTAAAATATATTTTAGTAAAATGTAATACATTATGAAATGTATTGTCTGAGTATCAAAATGTATTTTGGCAATTGAATATTTACTCAGTAAGATATACACTTAACTATAAGTTTCTTACTGTTAAAAAAAAAAACTTTAAGCATGGCATACTTATTGGGGAAAGCATATCAAAGTGTTTGTTACATAGTGTCTAATGTATTTAAATTTTTTATTTTAAACTTAAATAGAGCCTCTGAGTTTCTCAGCTTTGCTATCATACTCAAATCATACAAACATGTACCACAGCCATTAATCAGCATTCCATAACTAAAGATTCATTTCTTAAAATAAGTTTGTAAAATATGGCTAGAGAACAGGAAAGTATGTAATGTCCTCTCTCCTGTGGAAATAAATCACCATTTTGCTGCTCTTCTCACGTGTCAAGCAGTAAATTTCATTGTCAAAATGTACAGAAGAAAGTAGAGGTCCCATGATCCATCCCCTAGTCCTTACCAATCCTTTGCTAACGGCTCATTCTTTGGGAATGATTAATGTGATAACTCCCAAACAACAGACAAAATCTGCTTCTTTTCAATTCCTGCTGACAATGCAATAGTGGAAATACAACTCTCATGAAACAGAGTATCATGGATCTGACCACATATTTGTTGGCCTTGGTAGACTAGAACAATTTAAATATTCTATATGATAAACGAAGACATAATGAGAAATGCGAAGTTCTGTTGTTCTGTTAGCTCATTTGCACAATTAAAAGGCTTGAATCAAATGCACTTAATCAAAATTTTGTAAAACACATAAAAATGATTTATTAAAACGCTTTACCTTATTTTGCATAAAAATGATGGATTAATTATCACAATATCTCTTTTGTAAAGTGAAAGCTACATTATCAATTATTTTAGATCACAAGAGTTAGACCTAGCATAGGTTTTACTTTAAGGGCAAATATCTCATAAAAATATCATCACCTGTATTAATACACAGAAGCTCCTCCAATGGTATACTCTAATTTACGTCATCATTTTTTGAAAATGATATTTGAGTAGGACACAAGGCAGTTCCAGTAAGAAAATCCATAAGAAATTAACCTTAATTATCCTACCTGTCAATCTTATATAGAGGGAATAATTAAAACCTTGAAAATGAAAGGCATTTTAAATCTTGTTTCCAGTAATTTTTTCAAAACTACTGGCAGGGTATTGGTGCAAAAGTAATACTGAAGAGTTGTATTGAGGTAAAATTTAAAATAAAACATTTGAAAATCATAATAAAATTATATATATATAATCAATCTTTAAA